CATTGCCCTCCTCCTCAGATCTTCGGCTTCCTCAGCCACCCTGGGCATCATCTTCTCTGCCATTCCAGTCCTCTGTACCCTCCATTCAGTTACTCACTTAATATTTTTTTAATAATTTATTTTATTTATTCATTCATTTATTTTTTAATTTGACCAGAGAGAGACAGAGGGTGAGAGTGAGAGAGAGAGAAAGTGAGAAAGCAAGCCACCAGATTCAGGACTCGAACCCTGATTGGCCATGTGGGAGTGTCCAGCACCTTAACCACCATGCCACCTGCTGGTCCCACTCACTTAGTATTTGGCTGAAGAATCAGTATGTGCCAGGCACATCCCAGGTGCTGTGATGCATGGCAGGTGTAAAACTCCAGGGTTTTCAGGGACTTCAATACCAACGTGGCTTCCCCAAGCCAGAACACCCTCCCAGGCTAATCCCACGTGGTATATTATGCTCGACATCTCAACTGCATTCTTCCTCTCTCCTAGCCCACTCCACCTGCAGTGCACCGCCTCAAGAAGACAGCTGTCACCACAGTCCTCAGCCCTAACTTTCTTCAAACATTTCCAGAAAACTTCTTGACTCTTCACCATTTTCCAAAAAAAGAACTCAGGGTTTGTCTGGGTTCCCCACCACCTCCACAGTTCCTGGATTCTGGCCCTCTGCTGACAATTTCAGCAAGTCAGGCTAGCGAACCTCTCCACAGTAACAGATGACAAAAATAATTGCAAAGGATAGGAATAAAGTTGTAAATATTGAGCCACGGGGTTTGGCTGGTTTCATAAGCATTTTACTCAGAGCCTCGAGGGCTGGATCGTATAGCATGGAATCTCTACGCAAGTCCCAAGAAAGCAAAGATCAGGAAAAGATGGAAGTCGCTGCATGCAAAGAGAATGCTGTTGAATGGTTGGTGACTTTACATCTAGTAACACTCTTCTGGGAAAGCTTCACTATACAATAAAAAGGAAGAAAAATTAAGCAGTAAATTATTTATCACTACAGAAAAAAAAAAAAAAACTAAATGAGTTTTTAAAACCTACCCTCTTCCCTGAAGCCTCAGGCTAGAAATCTGAAGGCCTCCAGTCCTGTTTGCTTTCGTTGAACTGAAAGATGTAAAAGTAAAGCTGCAATGCCACTTAAAGACATCAGGGGGCAGCATTGACCCAGAGAAAGAAACAACCCTTTTCATGGCCAAAAACCTGGAGGCCACCCCCACTTTCCAGAGTAGGAAGTTTGGGGTTTCTATCACTGAAAATGAAAAAAGGGCAGTATTTCCAAAATTCCTCTGCTTCTAGCCTTCAGATGGCACCTAAAAGCTATGGGCAAAAATACTGTACTAACAAGCCATTTTTTTTGTCTTGTTTTTATTTAAAGAATAATTTTTAGGTTTTGCCATATAGTGCATGCCCTCACCAGAGAGAGACAAAAAAAAATCTCCACCGGGTAGTTGGGGGAGGGATGGCCATGCCACAATCCTTTCTCCATTCTCCTCTCAGATTTTGGCCACGCACACACATACGCTCAGCATTAATTTTAAGCCACCGGGCCCAGGACTTGAACCACGCAGATGGCCATGTGGGACCCAGTCCTCAAGAAGACAGCTGTCACCACAGTCCTCAGCCCTAACTTTCTTCAAACATTTCCAGAAAACTTCTTGACTCTTCACCATTTTCCAAAAAAAGAACTCAGGGTTTGTCTGGGTTCCCCACCACCTCCACAGTTCCTGGATTCTGGCCCTCTGCTGACAATTTCAGCAAGTCAGGCTAGCGAACCTCTCCACAGTAACAGATGACAAAAATAATTGCAAAGGATAGGAATAAAGTTGTAAATATTGAGCCACGGGGTTTGGCTGGTTTCATAAGCATTTTACTCAGAGCCTCGAGGGCTGGATCGTATAGCATGGAATCTCTACGCAAGTCCCAAGAAAGCAAAGATCAGGAAAAGATGGAAGTCGCTGCATGCAAAGAGAATGCTGTTGAATGGTTGGTGACTTTACATCTAGTAACACTCTTCTGGGAAAGCTTCACTATACAATAAAATGGAAGAAAAATTAAGCAGTAAATTATTTATCACTACAGAAAAAAAAAAAAAAACTAAATGAGTTTTTAAAACCTACCCTCTTCCCTGAAGCCTCAGGCTAGAAATCTGAAGGCCTCCAGTCCTGTTTGCTTTCGTTGAACTGAAAGATGTAAAAGTAAAGCTGCAATGCCACTTAAAGACATCAGGGGGCAGCATTGACCCAGAGAAAGAAACAACCCTTTTCATGGCCAAAAACCTGGAGGCCACCCCCACTTTCCAGAGTAGGAAGTTTGGGGTTTCTATCACTGAAAATGAAAAAAGGGCAGTATTTCCAAAATTCCTCTGCTTCTAGCCTTCAGATGGCACCTAAAAGCTATGGGCAAAAATACTGTACTAACAAGCCATTTTTTTTGTCTTGTTTTTATTTAAAGAATAATTTTTAGGTTTTGCCATATAGTGCATGCCCTCACCAGAGAGAGACAAAAAAAAATCTCCACCGGGTAGTTGGGGGAGGGATGGCCATGCCACAATCCTTTCTCCATTCTCCTCTCAGATTTTGGCCACGCACACACATACGCTCAGCATTAATTTTAAGCCACCGGGCCCAGGACTTGAACCACGCAGATGGCCATGTGGGACCCAGTGCCTTAACCTCCATACCACCTACTGGCCCCTACTTTTTACTTTTTATTTTTTGCTTTGTGAGCCTACCACTTCCAAGCCTGCTAGATATGCAAAGAAGCTGGCGAACCCGCCCACTCCGGGCTTCTTCCCATGCACCTTCCCTCTCTAGGCTTTCTCCTTTAACTGGCCTGAGTTCCACTGAAACACACTTTATTATTTATTTATAGTACTCCCAAATCTTAATTTTTAAAAGCAGAAGAGAAAGAAGGAAGAGAAACTGCTTTTACTTATTAAATGCCTAACAGGCACTCGCTTTTATAAGCTACATCTAATTTAGTCCTCAGAATGACCTGGAATCAACAGTCTTTTATTGCTGGTGAGGCAACTGAGTCGCGGGAAGGTTGGCTCCTGTAGCCAGCCACACTCCTAGGGGAGGGCAGCCTTGAGTTTGAACCCAAGTCCACCTAATGGAAGCCACAATCCTGGGTGGGCTCTGTGGCCTGGTGGTTAAGGCAACTGGACCCCACATGGTCAACCTGGAGGTTTGAGTCCCAGTCATGGCAGGTTGAGAAACACACCAGGTATGCCTACATGTGCATCACAAATCCCAGGAGCCTGGAAACGGAGCAGCAGGGATTACTTTGTGACCATTGCCCATGGGGGTGCTTTCTCCCTTCCCCTGTCTCTATGTGTCTCTGGTGAGACACATGTATCTGCACATGATCTCCAGCAATGTTGTTTTTTAATGATCACAATCCTGCCATTATCCTAGTAGATGTGGGATCTCAAAATAAAGCTCAGCTTAGGGGGTCAGACAATGGTGTAGCAGTATCGCAATGCCCTGGGAGGCCGACACACAGGGCACGGTTCCCAACTCACATGCAGACAGCTCCTTGAACATACCAGGCACACACATACCCCTGACCCAAGGCTGGCAGAAGCTGGGGCTGAAATCGCAGCGTCAAGACATTGTTGGGGTTCGGGGGGGGGAACTGTATCTGCCTGTCTATCTCTATCTCATTCATGTTAAAAATACATAAAT